ACCCCCCCATAAATACATACAGTAGAACTAATTTCAGGCATATTTATCCACTAAATCAACTAGATATTTACACCATTCAGTTCACCTCTTTTATTTCAGCTCTACTTTCAAGTCTACAAATAAAAACCTAATTATATGTAACACAGATATGATGATTGTACCTCAGAAGGAATCAGAGACATCTAAACATTTAAGAAAATGACGTGCAGCTTGCTTAATCTGAGTCAGAACCATTCTCTCCCTCTCCATGAACCTCATAAGCATAGTTTTGCCATTTTCTAGACTACTAGAAATATATAAGCTAGGAAAGAAGGAAGTAAAGAACGAAAATACTTCAGGCATATTTTTGTTTCAAGGACTTTAATAGCTTAATTATCATATTAGCAATTATTAATAGCTTATAATTAAAGAGTAGAAAAAATTAATAAACTGAACATCTGCTCAACCTTAGATATTGGAAGCACAACCTGCACACTACTGCTGTGATAAAGACGTCTGCTGTTCATTTTCCAGGATCTAAACCCATTTATCTCTACATTTCTTGCTACATAAACATACTTTGTTTTCTGGTATCACACTGAAATATCCCCATGAACATACTGTATGATTCAATGCTTTAATACCTGGGTTGCTCTCCCCAGAAGTACATCCAATATCTTGTATCGATAAGAGAAAAAGCACTTCTCGATCAAAACTTTCTGCCATTTCCAGCAACAAAATGGCAGAGAAATTACTCCATTCCTTAGAAGGCATTTTAAAAGGTCTGTATTAGTGCTGGGATTTATCAATTTGCATCTGAGATTTGTTCATTCTCTTCAAGATGTTGCCCAGCTCACATGATAGGAGCAACGACCCTCAACTGACAGACAGAAGGAACAACGTGTACTTCATTTGCCCTTCACGCCTTTTTTTTTAAACAGACTTCGCCTTCGCATCTTTGAGCACGAGTTTACAATTCACTGATTTTATTCAGCTTGCTATAATCTTTAGCCTTAATGCAAAAAAGGCGTCTGCTATTATGAGTTAGAAGGGGGAAATACATAATGCATGCAATAGGGAGGATGCATTAAGTTAGATCTCAGTAAGCATCTACATCTGCTACTCAGTCATTGCTGATAACATTTTCCCGAGGCAATATATACTCCAAACTTCGGTTTGGAAGTTGCTGGGTGTGAGGGGTGATGTCATTGAAGTAAAAGCCACTAAAAATTGAGACAGAAACACTGCACTGTGTTTCTACATCTGACTGTAGAAGTGTAGTACCTATATTCACTAATTTCATACAGAAAAACAATGCAATGGTACAAAAAGCTGAAAATCCCAACTTCATTGCTTCATAAGCAAGTGAAAAAACTGACTATGTAAACACATCAAGGTTGTTCCGATTACAGTCAAATGCACTATGAATTTAACATACCATCTAGAACTGTTTTTCCTGGGAACCTCATGACACTGGGACATATCTACATAGAAAACTAAATAGGTAACTTGGCTTGTTCATGCAGCTGAATGCCATGACCTCAAACCATTAAGATAATACAGTACACAGGACAAATATGTATATATTTTATGCATTTGCCCTAAGTATGCTTTTGTTGCCGCTATTTGGCATTTTATCGTTGAATTTAGAGAGTAGACTTTGCGTACTCTTAAGTGAACTTGTTTTCCAGCTCTGTTCATAGGTCAAGAAGTTAAAAACAATCAAACATGCACCAGGCCAGAAGTTAAAACAAGACTCTCTGTCAAAGTCATAAGCATTTTGCTTTTCTACAGCTAACTACCACAATAAAGGTTTGGCTTGAAACTTGGCTTGGTTAAGAATAATACGTTTTTTCCTTCCCCCTGCCTTGAAAAGCTTATTTCCACCCCACTATACATATTTGCAGGAGACATGCTTATGACTCCATCAGGGAAAATCTATCATTTTCAAGAAATGAAGGATTTAATATATACATATACATTTTAACTCCAATAACAATCTCTCCAGTATATTTCCCAAATGTCTTGATAACAGTTTTTATGATACAAACATGAAAAGCAGTAACGGCTTTTTATTTCCAATCAGCTTTTTATTTCCTCTTTGACTACAAATATTCCTCTTGGCACAATTCAGATCAAGGTCATCCTACACTAGTGTTTGACAAGTTCCCACCAAACATTCCCAACATAACAGCTGACAATACACGATGTAAGCCCACATCAAGTGCCAAGGGAAACCCTAATACTTGCATAAGCTTGCTTTTAGAAATGGACACGGAACTTACTTTAAATTAGCACTTAGTCACTTCTGCATTGGTCATCTCAACAGAAAAGGACCCTACATGAAAGCCTGAGCTTTGAAACAGGAGCCTGAAAAACACGGTAGCAAAACAAAAGGCAACATGGCAACTCTAGTTAGTGCACTTGAAAGAACAGTACTTTTTTTTTTTTTTTCCCCAGCATGATAGGTACAAAATCAAGCCTAAAATCAAGAATAAAGCAGAAGAATATTAAAGTTATATTCTGTTCATTTTTTCTTCTTTGGCAGTCTTTACTGCCTATGTAAACCACTTTACCCAAGGCCAGTTTCACAGCCCTGTGTCCCACTGTCAAGTTACTCAGGTAGCTTCATGCTGACAAACTCAGAGAAGGTACTGAAATCAGTGGTGTGAGCACAGACCAAGCACCTCAGATACACAACAGCAGCACCCTTTCCACACCCCCACAGCTGCATCACCTGCTTTAAACTTATGCTGCAATTGCTCCCCTCTGCCTTTTCCCAAGAATAGTCATATCCAAAACCTGACACCACACCCACTGTGCGAGCACCCCACTCTTAAAGGCAAGTGCAAGGATTTGTCTTCAGCATCGAGACTTACCAGTATAAGTATGCACTGTAGTCACACTGGGATACTTCCCTTAAATAAGGAACAAACCCCTCTTCCTTTGGAAGCAGAGCACATGTAACTTGTACAAACAGGGACGTTGGTGTAAACTATCACTGCCCATTAACCTGCTTTCTCAGCTCAGCTCCTCCTCTGCAGGAGACTGCCTCTGAAGTCTGCCAGCAGACTTGTTCCCTGAAGGCTCCCTAGCCTGTTTCAGTCAGGTTTTCACATTCCTTCAGCTAACCCAAGCCATTTTGACTGAATCAGGTTAGAAAACATTGATACAAGTAGCTCTACAAAGAGCAATCAGGGAATAACAAACAGTTAAGTGTATCTTTTATCATCTCAGAAGGATATGAATCCCATCAAATACCTGATCAGTCAAGGACATTCAAAGAGTTACAGATTCACACCAGCAGTATAACCTCACTCCTAAGGTTCCTCCAGCCACGAGAACCCTTTAACATTAAATTTCAAGTGAATTTTGGGGCCCACACTAGGGTGAGTCTCTATGTATTTCAAGACTAGTAAGAACTACCCCTCTAACACAATCTGGCTCAAGTTTCTACAAGTCACTCCCATTGCTGCAGCTTAAGAATAAATAAATCAGGTATAAAACCACAAATGCAGTAAAGGAAGAGTGACAGTAGGGGAGGGGATGTCAAAGATGTGCATTACTATAATTGAATATATAAGCCTAAACTTTTTAAATTCAACTTTACAGCATTTCGTAAAGTTGTATCAATTAGAATTGTCAAGAAGCACGAAAAAGGTGCAACTTTTGAGAAAAGTTTTTGGTTGTAATGAGCGTAAGATAGTTTGTTGTTGCAGTGGGTAACATTATATCCAACAGCAGCTCCAGGAGAATTTAATGAAAAGGTTTGTTCACATGAAGACTACGCTAACTGGACCTTCAGAATTTTTCCCCCCTCACATCTTCCGAGCATCACCACAAAGTATCAGTAAATCAATATCAACAGTATTCCTAACACCTACATGCAGACAGAAATTGACATTTTAATGGTTAAATACAGTCATACAATAAGGTTTAAACACTGTTCATAACTTGCCTTGTACGCACAGGTACCTACAACGGAATAAAACCAGATATGCCATATTATACACTAACATTCCTGCAATAGAAAGGATAAAAGGATGAAGTTTCAGGCAGCATTCCTAGATTAATTTAATGTTAGATAGTCATTAGTGTTCTGTTGAATTGTCTTTTTAGAGAAACAGGGTTTAAACCTAGAATGAAAGATGTTGGCAAAGTGGATTTTGGCGTACATGGATTCTGCTAGAGGTTCAAAACTTCTCACTTGAGAATGAGGGAAGTTTACAAATGTGGGGTTTTTTGGTACAACAGAAATGCATTTAAAAAAGAGTAGTACTTCTAAATAGTAATCTTTAGAATTAACAATCACCAAATCTGCATGCATCCATGCCAAACATTGGCTTAACAACCACTGAGTTTAACAGACTCTTCCAAGAAGTTTCTCTAAAAAGGAGAACCTTAACTGCTAAAACCAAGCTAATTCATATCTTTTCAAAAGCTTGAGCGACAATGAATGTCAGCAGTAGATTTCATATTTTCTTTGGTCTTAGACTAAACTTGCCATTTACATTTGAAAGATGATTTCTCCATATTATTGGTTTCTGCAAATCTGTCAGGAAACTTGAGTTCTGCATTACAGGTAGCATCCTAACCAAGGTAGCATCTGAACCAAGAAGTATTACAGAGTGATAAATGCAGTAGTCTGTAAGACAGAGTCCTATTTTCTCCCTGTGCTTTTAAAATCTGTGCTTATCTTGACATGGCAGAGTGTTCTGAAGGTCAGCATTCTAAGTCGTGGATGAGCTTTTGATGGCAAGAATTATGTTTCAATTAATTTCTACTGAATGTGTTGTCAGATTTCTAGGAACTCAGTTCTCACTGAATTGCTATTTCCAGAGCCAAAGTGTCTAAAATTGTCTAAAGAGACAGCCTTCAAGTCTGCAGAAGAACACCCAATGATACAGAAAAGGCTTCTCTCCATATGTTGTCAGTGCTCCCACTTATTATCTGCACACTTAGCACCCTCAAAAATACTAATTAAGCAAAACCAAGATGTTTTAGACAGTCAAAATCACACATTTACACAGCAGCCACTGTGACCTTTATTAAGAAAAGAAGTGTCTGCCAGTTAAACTGCGATGACTTTATTGACTTCTCCACTTGTAGAAAAACAGTTCTTTCATAATGGCTCTGGAAATCATTTACTGCCAGGTAAATGCTGAATTCCCGGCAACGTATGGTCTGCTTGGAACTCTGGCAGTCTTACCATGAAAGGGCTATATTCACCCTTGCAAAATGCAAAGTAAGCAACACATCTTTCATTCAAGCAACAAAGTCATTCTTGAGGCAGATGTCACGCTAGCCAAATAGCAAAGCCACCTTTACATTAAGCAATCCTTTCTATCATGACAGTTCCACAAAATGAAGGGTAATTTATGAGAAAAACAATTCATAGGACACCAGTTAAATGTTCTCTTCATGTAAATGTATAGTCAAGTCTTATTTCTCAGGCAGGAGAGGCTGAGCTAAAATGAAACACAGCACGATGATCTATCTTCATGAAAATGTCCTGTTGCTAATGTCTCTTTTGCCTCCTTTCCTCTTTATTAGTCCTGTGAAGTCCTATGCATTAGAAGTCAGAACAAGGTTTCTTCATTCATCTGGAATCAGATTTATATCCAATCGTCTAAGTGACTCACAATGCTGTCTACACACATTTCTGAAAAGTAGTTCTCCATTCCTAAGTAATCCAACCATCATGAAAGATATTTTCCGATTTCTTCAACTCCAGAAGTTGTTATAATTCCTTTTTCATCTTCATCTTGTAGCCATGTAGCAGAACAGCATTGTCATGGTCTATGTATAGTAGGATTTAATCCTTATTAATAACTTCAGTAGATTGCCCGAGGATTTTTAGTACTGTAGTAGGCTTCACATGCAGCTACATAAGCAGATTCTGGGAAGAAATCATCATGGTATTCTGCTAAAAACCTGAGAAGAAAGCACACCAAAAAAAAAAAAGGAACAGAACATGAAACATTTAAGAGAAATGCTATTTTCAAATTAATTTTTAAGCTCAGCAAAACCACAGCCTGGGAATTAAGAATTATTACACTTTGAAATTTGGCATAAAAAAGACTTGCCCTATTTTTTACAAGTTTTACACAGTGATAAACAGCCTTCCCCTATCACTCTGAAATCCAAATAGCATTAAAAAAAAATTGCTCCAGCTCAATTTAAAAAAATCCAAAAGCTGAAACTACATTCAGAAAAAGAACCCCCAGAACTATCACAGAAGGAAAAAAAAGTTAAAGAGATCTTTCTGCAACTGCTGTAAATTACTTGCTCAAAATACTATTTTCATTTGTGTCTAAACCAGTATCTTCAGTTATCATGTCAGTATCTTATACAAATGGTCAGGAACCATTAAGTCAAACTGTATTTTTTAAGGTAAGTAAAGCTATGATTTCATATGTTTCATGTGCCTGTGCATTTAGGGTCTCCATCTTTCAAGACTATCTGATGTAAATATGACTCTCAAAGACAAAACACATCCTTTGCAAATACAGTTCCTTAATGTCATATTTCTGCAAGACGGTCTTAAAATATTATTCAAACAGCCAAGCACCTGATATTTATGATGTCTTTCTACTCTTCTAATATGCAACTGTTTCCTTGTTTAGGACTGAAAATGAGAATAACCAGTGTTGCTACTAACACTAGTAACAAACAGCTAAAATTACTACAAGCTTTCTGTTCTTTCCTTTGTAATCAAAGACACTGGGTATATAAGTGGGGGCAAAAGGGCAAAACAATCCTTAAACTCAGGACAACAGTGAAGCTGTGCTTCAGAAAAAAAAAAAAAAAAAAAAAAAAAAAAACAGACCTTCAAAAACACCTGGATATTAAAGATCAGCATCAATAAACATGGCAAATTGTTAGCTTCAGGTTCTCTGAGTTAAGACTAGGAAGCAGCAAAAACAACAGGAAACGATGTCATTTGCAGGATCTGTGTTTTCTCAAGAAACAGTGGCTAGGGTGATGACTTCACTACTGGAAGCTAGAAATATCAGTTTTGCAGAATCAATACTCTGGACACAGAAAGTCCAAATTAAAAAAAGTGTATGTATGAATGCCATAAAACCTACAGTGTTTCTCCAACCTCACTCACTGCTACACTGCCTGAATTAGGCACATGCTTTGATCTTAACAGAGTAGAAGCATCAAAGAATATAGGCAAGATTCTCTATATAAACCAATTTAAATTTAATAAGGAGTATATTAATTGCTCAGAGCTCACAGAAAATGATGACAGAACAAGTGAAAAACGGTTGATTTTTCCACACACACCCTCGATCCTTGTACTTAAACATGGGTATCAAACAAGTGCTAAATGGGAGGAATAACTAGTTACATCCTACTAATTCTAGAAAAAGCAGTGAGAAACAAACTTTTTTAGAAGAAATCAATCCTTCAGCGTGTCATCATTAACTCAGATGGCATGTTGTCAACTTCCTCCACACCTGCTTGTTTCACAGCAGCTCTGTAATTAACAGTATACAGGAGGGCCTAGAATGGTTTCTGATGTAAAATGTTTCAAATCACTACAAAAGAGTACTGAAATGAGAACAATTTAGAAGCTAATAAAATACCTGAATCATCAGCTGCTATGACCTCTGACTTTAGCTACCAATAATCTTCTGTGATATGAGGGGTTGGTGTGAAGTGAGTATGGGAGGCCTAAAACTTAACAGAGTTGCATCTAACAGGCTTAGACATAAGATTAAGATGACCTACAAGCGGAATTTAATTAATAATTCTTCATTAACACATGCTGATGACTCCAACTGATTACAGGGGTTGATGAAAATCTTAGTGTCCTTGGATAACATTCAATAAAACAGAGCACTAAGAGGGTTACATGTTTTAAAAGAACACTAAAACAAAGGAACCTTCAGAGGGGACATTGGTTAGCTGACAGTTCCAAGAATTCTAACGGCAAGTCATGGAAAACAGGCTCATTTTCTTCTACAAATTTCCTGACTTTTGCTTAAGATCAGTCATACATGCCAGTTTGGTGCATACTGAAGTGACAGCTGGTAGAGATGAGAAATGTTAACTGAGATGCTGTGCCACAGTTACAGCTCAGGCAGGCAGAATGCATGCAGTCAAATGTACATCTCCCTGTTCTCCAGGGAACAGTTGTGAAAAGCAAAATACCCCAGAGCTAGCAAACAAATTATTTTCTGCAGAGAAGTGGGAGAAAACTGCTGAAACACACACATGGTCAGCTTCTGTCCCAATCCCTTGTATATCTGTACACAAAGAGCAGGGCTCTTCTGAAGTGGTTTTCTATTCAAACTACATCACAGTGCAGAAAGTTGGCACAGAAATATTAGGAGTCTCCTAAGACTCTTAGCTAGTGGATATTTCACTAATGCTTTGCTCTTGGACAAGCTAAAATAGCTCCAAGATCAACTACACTGGTACCTCTAAGCCATGAGCCAAGACTGAAAGACAGAGGGAGCTGTACTTAGCAGGCAGAAGCCATGTTCAGCTATAGACCAGAAAGCACATTGCTACTGAGTTGCTCAGAAACTGTTTCGTTACTTTTAACTCACAAAGTTGATCAATTCAGTCACCTGTTGCATTATTGCCTTTTTCGTTTTTATACTTTTTATAGAGCTCATAGGCATACATCTACACAGTTGATGTATGAAACTACTTTGAGTAACCAAGTTCTGAGATGCAGAGTCCACACTGATGCAAGACTGCACACTTTTTTCATCATGAGCATCCTCAAAAAGAAAACTCACGCTTTACAGTCATGCTTAGAACATAGGCGTAACATGGTACAATGTAGCTATTTCCCTCCCTACCACAGGTAGAGGCAACACTTCTCAAAGGACTAGAGGGCATGGAGACAAGGGAAACAGACATGTGGGCAACTTAGCTTGAATAATTCCTATGTTCCGATATTCAAGTGTGGCAGTCTGTAAGCAAGCTTACCTCAGGTGACTCCCAGCAACAGCCTCACAAATATACTACCACCTGACTTTGAGTTATACAGGCAGATCTACCAAAAAGAGGCACAAAATTATCACTATCCACATTAGAAGGCCTTTTGACACGTCAGGAACATTTATCAACAAGAGGCACTGAATTAATATGAGCTTTAAGAGCATCATCCGGTAACAAAAAGGGCCTTGTCTTGACAGCGTCAACACAACTTATCACCAAAACAGTCTCTGCATGAAGAAAAAAATTTCTACTGAACATCAGCTACCATCACATAAATAAACTTCAGGGACAGCCCAAAAAGCGTGAAAATTACAAAGAAAGGAAAATCTTAATTTTTAGAAAGACAACCTCAGCCATTAAGGTATAAGAACACAGAATTCAAAGGAAAAGCTCCCAGGAAGGTGACATCTTAGACACTTCTGTTACAGAGTTTGAGAAGGTAAGCAGATGCTTTGAAGAGATCAATGGCCTGAGATAGATGCTGTTTGAAAAGCAACCATAATGATCTATCTAAAGGAATTTGCTAAGAGAGGATTACGGATCCTAACTCTGAGTCACCTCATCAAAAGAAATGTCATTTACAGATTAAGAAGTTATCTCCCCGATTTATAGGCCCATCTCCATCTGGAAGGTTGTTCAGAGCAAAAGATCACCAACACAAACTCCGTCATAACCCCACTGCCCTTGGCCTTTTAAGGGAGAGCCCAGAGAACTCTGAAGACACCAAGCTGCCAACACAGCATTTCCAGCAATCAGGATGAGTGGCCATGAAAAGTGATAACTTCTAGTACCACTTTTGGGAAAACAGCCCTACAAGAGCTCAAGACAGCAGTCCTTGGTTTGTCTTGAAGATGAAGACCCACTTATGGTAAGGTCATCACAGATCCGTAGTGCTGCATTCTGAAAAAAGCTGCTGTAACACATTTGAAGTATTTTGGGTAACCTCTCAGTTCAGACATATGATCCAAACCTCAGCTACTGACCAGCAATATGTACCATTCAAGTACCCAAACACTCATGATTTGATAAGCAGAAGGAAGAGAAGCAATCCACATGGTGAGTTTCAGCAAGTATTTTTGGCAAAGCAACCAAACTTCAGTCAAGAACAATAAGCACAGATGAGCATATTCTGCAGACCAAGCAAATAAAAGCCCTCTGAAAATAAGAACCTGTATCATACCAGGTACTCATTGACTAAAAAGCATTCAACATCAAGGTGCCAAAAGTTTGAGAGGACCCAAAATGGCAATTACCTTTCTACCCATTCAATGAACACAGCAAAGCCCAAATAAATGGTAGTAATGCCCTAAAATAAGGCACTTGGCAAACAGAATTAGTTCAGAGTGTTTCAAAACTTTTTAAAAAAAGTTCCTTTATATGTTTGTGCCCTCTAAACCAACACCTCAATTTATACTCAAAAACTTGATTTTCTCACATGTTAGGTCCAATTTCATAAAGTTTTCTAGTATATCATAACCGCTATGTTGCACAGATACTCTCTTCCAAGTAACTGGTTAATCCCAAAAATTGAGGCCAAAAAAACCCTAATATGTTCAATAATATGAATTATTTAATAATCAATATAAGAAACACTGGTATAATTAGTCAGTTATCATCTTGCAACTTTATTAAGCCACAATGAATCACAATGAGTACGAACTCTGTCACAAAGCAACTTGACATAAGTAAAGATGTTTTCTATTCTATTCCCCATGTGCAATGCTTCATTTTCTCATTCTCATACACTAATAACCTCTCATTAATTGTACATTAGCACAGACTAGTGGTGATAATTCACCACTGCACTTATACAATTACTACACTCAAAATGCATGCAGCATTGGAATGGGCTGCCTAGGGAGGTGGTGGATTCTCCATCCCTGGAGGTATTTTAAGAAGAGACTGGACGTGAAACTTGGTGTGGTGGTAGTGGATCAACGGTTGAACTTGATGATCTCAGATCCAAGAGATCATCAACCTACCCATCTGATTCTACGATTCTGTGATTCTATGAGTAAAACCAGAGTTCTGTTTCTTAAGGTTACTTGAAACAACTTGTCATCTTTCTATACATTTTATTATTACAGTTTTTACTATCTTTAATACATTTTATTATTACAGTTCTCTAATTCGCTCACATTCTGATCTGGCTTCCTTCTCAGAAAGTGCTGAACAGTATCAAAATACTTTTCTACCCATGGAGCAGAGTGGCACATTAGATACAAGCAGATTGTAGAGCATCAAGGAAAAAGAAGAGAGATCTAAGCTTACAGGAAATATTGAGTTTGAAATACCTGTGGGGCTTTAACAAAGCTGAAGACCATCAAGAAACTAGTTCTCCATAATCTGAAAGAATACATGTTGGCCTCATCTAAAAAATACGTATTAGAAGCAATATTTTAGAAACGTTTCATCACTTACTCTTTTCAATTTCAGGAAAGTCAAAATACCTATTTCTTTCTAAAGTGCTGTACACTTGGGTTTGCATTTTTTCCTACAATACAATCCTGAAATTAGCTCAGTGAAGATGGGTCTTGGTATTATAAAAACTGACATGTTCTGCACTCCTAATTTTTTAAATAGCTCCTGTTGATCAACAGTTCTGAGAAGTGACCTCTCTGATCCCGAAACAGTTTTCCAAGTCAAGGCTGTGTTCAAATCAATGGAAACAGCAAGCCAGAAACTGGCACCTTCTTGCCTATCATTTCTCATCACTGAAGCAGCCTCTGGTGCCATGCCAGGCACCACACAGTACAGAGAAGTCATAAAATACAGCACATAGAGCATTTTATTTAAAAAACGGCTAAAATAATGGAACTGGTTAAAAGATAATACCTTCTCTACTCAAAAACCATTAACAGGCAGGAAGATTTAATCAGGAGTCCTTCACTATTGGAATACCAGTAAGCAAGTACCAGTTACTGTGTGACCTTTCACTGCTTGCTCCCGAAGACTGAACTCAAGCTATACATGAAATTCAGTGAAACCAACTGGTGACTTTGTCATTAAAGTCTATTTCAGACTGCAAGTACCACAAATTATTTCCAAACTAAACCATTTAAGACTCTGAGTTCTGTACTTGAGAAACTGATTTTCTTCTGCAAACTCTATAACTGAAAAATCAACTTTCATGTTCTCCACGAAGAAATTTTCATTATGCACACTTGTAGAAAGCTGCACTAAGCACAAAGGGTACAGCTTAACAAGAAAGTCAAAAAGATGCATTTCATACATTCCTCAAAAATATAGGTTGTCTGGGAAACTGAGAACAATCTTGTCTAGCAGCAGTCTGAGGGCATGACTGGAAAATATTATCCATGTAGCATCTCAAAGAAAATTTAATGCATCTATCAAGTACTGAGTAAACTCAATAAAACAAGCTTCCTGACAAAGTATTATATTAAAAAAGTCTCAGTTTCTCAGCCCACATGAGATTAATAGTATAAATGTTAAATAGATAAATGTTAAGTGAAACTGTACATTTTAGCCATAAAATCATAATTCAAAATTAAATCAGTATCAATGCAAGAACTAAATCAGTCATCTACTACATGGAAGTTTTATTTAAAAATATATAAACTGCTTTTGCTTGGACTACTCTGCCTAGACTTCAAAGAAGATTCAGAAGTAGTTTTATTAATGCAAACAGACATATCAATCCTTTGTCTATTAGAAAAATAAAGAAATGGAGAGTACTTCAGCTTGTCACTCAAGAACAATTCACTAAAAAAGAATTAAGTAAACTGGCTGCTATCATCTAATCCATACAGATCTTGTAGGGCAGTTCTTACCCTTCAAAAAGTAAGCCAGAATAGAACTGATATAAAGTATTTATAATAAACATCCATTCATTCTTTCATTCCCAAAAAGACAGAATCTGAAATCTGAAGAACTAATACAAGATATCACCTAAACCTCAACTTTTCTCTTGTAATTCGAAACAGATAATGCAGAATTATTTCTGTGATAAAAATCAAGCATGAACAAGTTTCTAGAAAATGTAGTTGTTTGACCACTTTCAATGGTGGTCAAACCCACTTCAGTGGGACAAAGAAATATATACCCAAATGAAAGATGTGTTAAAACACCATGAATATGTGTTGAGGAAAAATAAAATCTAATAAACTGCATGGTTTCTGTGCTACCTATTTGAATACACAGCATAACTGATAAGGAAACTAGACTAAGAAGAGTATTTATGACAAAGGTACTTAAGACCTAATGCTGCCTATAGAAGTAACTGTAACTTGGAAGCTTTTCTGGCACTGTCAAAAAAGAAAGCACTTGAAAAAACAGAGAGCCCTCAAATATTTTGTTACAGCAGATACGCTTGTCTTGAGGGGCTCATTTTGGTTTAGTTGTAGCCTGGTCTGGGGGACTGAAGCACACTTCTGTTAAGTGTTTTCTGAAAGGAATACAGCTTGTGTACTCAGAGCACTCCACACCGCAACACAAAGCCCAGTAAGTGGGAACTGCCAAGAGATTTGCTTCAAAAGCACAAATCTATCTCACCTAAAAATGCTAATGTGATTTATTTCTATGAAGAGATGAATGAGATAGTACGACAGAAAAATACAGATATGGATACTACAACTAGAACTTTCAGTTTAGCCACCTTCCTACTGGTACAGGGAGTAGGGGACATGTTTCTCCCTTCCTCCATTCTATTCCAGTACAGCTCACCCATAGAATGGGTATGAAAACACTGAATTAAGGATGCTAAAAACAGAGACCTGCTCTGGTCAACACAGAAGAATCTGAACAGGCAAAGGTCTGATAAAAACTGATCTGATCCACAGTGAGTTAAGTCCCCTAAGAAATATTCACTCCAAGGAAAAACAGGTTTCCAACAATGGGGCCTACTTTTGTCCTGCTTGACTTTAAGGTACTTTGAATGCCAACAAGAATCTGACAAAAGAGAGATGCAAAACTTAAAAACTAAACGTTTCCAGAGAAAAATTTTGTATTGTAAAAACTCTGACATTTGAAACATCTTATTTTTGATAAACAATTTAAATAAAAGCATATTAAAGCTTTCATCTTCCTGATTTCTACCAGGACTTCTATTTACACTACAGTAATATTACGTTACTTTTCCATGCGTGGCTATTGAAGTCATTGACCAAAAATAAAGTTACAATTTCCACATTTGTTCTAAATGTTTACTATTCGCAAAACTTTCTTGGCAATTTTATTTCCCACTGTATTGATGCTGCACAGCACACTGGTATCTATCACCTCACTGTCATGCACAGACACTAAGTACAGCACCTGGTAAAAGTAAAGCTTATCATCGTGCAGGTATGAGCTTACTGACTCCAGCTGTGAAGCTCGTGTGTTCAGATAGAGTTTGAGTATCTCTAAAAAGCACTGCACTACACCACAGAGAAACCTTGATGTTCAAAGCTCAAGTCAGATAGACATTTCTTTTAAAAAAATCAACCATAATTAAAAACATGTTTTAAAGCACAAGTTTTCTCCCCCTGTTTATGTCAATGAAAGTCATAGAATCATAGAATAGATTGGGTTGGAAAAGACCTCCAAGATCATCAAGTCCAACCCCTGATCCAACTCCAATTACTATAGCATGGCACTAAGGGCCACATCCAATCTCTGCCTAAAAACCTCCAGGGATGGTGAATCCACCACCTCTCTGGGTAGGCTGTTCCAATGCTTGATTACCCTCTCTGTAAAGAATTTCTTCCTAACATCTAACCTAAACCTCCCCTGGCAGAGCTTGAGCCCATGTCCTCTTGTCCTATTGTTGGTTGCCTGGGAGAAGAGACCAACCCCCACCTGGCTATAACCTCCCTTCAGGTAGTTGAAGAGAGTGATGAGTTCACCTCTAAGCCTTCTCTTCTCCAGACTAAACAACCCCAGCTCCCTCAGCCTCTCCTCATAGGACTTGTGCTCAAGTCCCTTCACCANCTGGACCCGCTCCAGCACCTCAATATCCTTCCTGAACTGAGGGGCCCAGAACTGAACACAATACTCAAGGTGTGGCCTCACCAATGCAGAGTACAGGGGAAGGATCACTGCCCTGCAAAACTCTCAAGATCATGCTCTCAAAAAACAACAATGTAGACTTCGAATTTCTTCATAAACATGGTTTTTAAGCAAGACTTGTCATTCTATATATAGTAACAAACTTTTCAACTTCAGTTCTCTGTCACCGTATTTCTCAAAACTCCAAGCAGAAAATTCAGGCTCCCTTCAATTTGAGTTACAGAATGGAAAAATCTTACATTAATCTTTACTCAAATAGTCATCGTTAAAATTTTATATTAATTTTATATTATTGTTGTAGCAAAGGAAAACTAACATCTTATTTTAAACCCCCTTTGTCATTCCAGGACATTTCGATCTATGTAACAACAGAAACGCTGCTGTGGTACATTGTGTCACATTACCTCAGAAACATTTCGAAGTGTTTTACCAAAGCCTTTAGGTTTTTGTCAGGAAAGCACATCTTCCCCAATATTTCTGGTAGCTTTACTGTAAATAAAAGAAATAATGTCTACATCTGTTCTTTTAAAAGCAACTTTTAATTACTTTTATCCAGTATAAAGAAAAGAATATGAACATTTCTTCTCCCCACAGACTCCCCTTTTCCTTGCAAGCTACTCAGTGATCTTTCAAAGCCTGACTAAATAGGAACATGCTAAGAAAGTGAATGCTGCTTGGTTTAATTACGTTTGATAGTGTACTGGAAGTAACGCTGCTTTGCTTTTCTTAAATGAAGGCTTACAGAGCCAGTAAAAGATAACCAAATCTACGAATAGCCTAAGAGTTCTAAACAGATTAAAAAGTACATTTAGCCAAGAATAAAACTAGATGTGATGAAGCAAACAGAAAAGTCACACAGGTATGGGCGCTAGAAAAAAAAAAAAATAAAGCAACTTTGATAGAGCAGAGAGTTTGTCATCAGTTTACCAAACATCCGCAGCAAATGTTGAGATCCATAGATGTACGAAGGAGGTGGCGGTTGATCACTTGGTGGATAATTTTCTGGCATCAATTTCCAGGACAAAACCTAAACATAAAATATGAAAACATCAGTTATTAAATCTTTACAGCATCATAAATAATTTAGTCTGTACAGACCTTCAAATGCAAAGTAACACCAACAAAATCTTTTTTTTCATAGCCCTACTCTGAGGTCCACAAACCCCTTAATTATGCAATCTAGGGTAGTAACCTTAAAATCTGTTACCTCATTCAGTTCATTGTTTCTTCTACCTTCAAAGCCAGTAAAAACCGTACTCCCTTCTTTGCTAGGAGTCAAAGTTATTGGTGAAGACGACCCGCTATGGACAGGGGTTTCTTCAAAAAGAAAGAAAAAACAAAATAAATTAAATCAGAAATAAATTTTATTACTTGTTTCATGAAACTATAAGCCATTAAACTCAACTAAGGCCTGCTGCTAAAATGTTTGAAGTCTTAAACACTGAAATTCAATAAAGGCTATCAAAAATAGGCTCTCAGAAATGCAGTTCATTGAATTCTGTGGAAAAATGCAGTCCCAAAGTACTGTGAATATTGCTTTATATTTCTCTCTTTGGTAATAAGGCCTCAGAGATAAATAATTGATACAAAAAGTAATGAATTCCCACTTCAATCACACAAATCACAGTCCACACAGCATTAAAAAAAGAACAGAACTTTACACTTTGTTTAGACCAACAATTTGAAGAGCAAAATCTACTTTTTTCCAGGTGCAAGAAGAGCTTTGGCATAGAAGCCGGGGTCTCAAGATGCCGCCTCTTGGGCTGTGGGGAAGCGCTGCTCTCTGACAGCCTGTCGCAGTTGGAGCTGTGGCGAGTGGAACGTCTCAGTGACTGCAGGATTTCAGGCTCAGCTTTCCGCCTCTTTGGCGTGGCCGGCTCCCCTGTGGTGGGCTGGCTGTCGGTTGACTGAGGTGTGGGTGGATTCAGTAGAGGAGGACTTGGGGAAAGTTCCTCTTGACTTCTAGGAAATTAAGGCAAGTTTACAGAGTTGAAGAGATCAGTGTTCCCCCCACAAAAGAAATTCTTCCAGTTTCACACATCTTGTTAAACACTTATTCAGATAAGACAGTCTCCTCCCAATAACAATTAAAGTGATGAGGCCTTCTATTAAATACTATTTTCCAGAAGGATACTTGTTTTCAAATAGAAGTAAAACCCACAAATATGACATTCTCCCACATTTTACTGAGGAGACAAGGAGTATTAAACTCCTTATATCCAACCTACCTGTTAGTACTTGTTGAGTTTTCTTTGATAGGAAGAAAGAACTTTGATGAGGTCACCTTCTTAAATTGAGCTTGTTCATAAGGATAGAGCAAAATTAATGGAAGTGTGAAGTCAAAGGTTATTCTCAGCCCATCCACCATCTCTTTACATAACTCAACACTAGAGGGGAAAAAGAACATAAATTTCAAAGTTGCATGTCAAAATTTTTCAGTGTAGTTGTACAATACTGCCCTTTAGTATGGACTATTAATATCATAACTACAATACACTGATTTCATCACTAAGTAATAAGTGATTAAAAGCATATTTAAAAAGACAGTGATTGCTCTCATTAATTTAAGAGTTACAAATTTTTTAAAAGTCTGCTTCATAACCTCAAAAAAAATCACACAATTTTTCTCAGTATTACTGGATTAATGAAACCTACTGTAGAGTAAATAAAGTTAGTCAGATGTTTTCATGTAGCATTATTTTGTTTTTCCAAGTTTACTAGGCTGAAAAAAGAGGCGTAGAAAAAGGAAGCACTCAACAGACTGAATCTCAGTCTAAAATGAATATGAAGAATTTGACCTATAGCTGCTATGATGCAGTCAAGGCTGTGCTTAAGGCATATCCAGAGAACCAACAAAACCAGGTAAATTTCCATTGGACGTCAACATCCAATGGTCTGATCCAGTAATCAAAGCACTACATTTAGAGGCTACCAGGAATTTCAGTTTTTGGCTTGTGTAAAAGACTCACAACGTTAGGTGGTGAGTACTTGTGCTGTTACAGCAGAACAAAGAACACCAAGTGCAGCCCACCCGCAACATCTCTCACCTTTCTGAAGGTATTCTCCTCTCATGTTTCTAGTGCATGTACGTGTAGGGTAATGGAAATTTGATTCTGTCAAAATGACCCATGTCAGAAATTCCAAACCTATTACCATTTCATACCACCTGCTGAAACTACCGCCTCTGTTTTTTTAAACACTATATTTCAATTGGATTGGGGGACTATCATGTGCAGAAATTCTATTAGATCCAAGAAGGTCAATAACCTTCAGTGTTAGAACAGTAGGGGCAATATAATAAAACTGTCAGCTGAACCTCTCCTTCTAAATGAATACACATTTGTAGAAGTTACTTAAACATACACCTTTAAAAATTATAATGTGTACAACCTTCTGTTCATATTTCTGACATTTCATCTAACTTTTTTGTTTGGGAGATCATACTACAAAGGAAAAGTATCATTAATCTATCAAAGAATGAATGACATCAACATAAACACAGACACTCATATAGACCAAATATTTCAAGGAATAGTGTAATTACACAACACTGAAATAGAACATTGTAACACAAGGCAAGATCACTCTTACATAAAATACAAGACTGCAGACTTACATAAAGAAGCAGTCTCATCTAATACCAACAATCTTTAACATGAGAGAAAAAAACTACCAAACAAAAAACACCACACTGCAAACATGGAGGGTTAATTCATTTGTAGCATGGTGAAAGAATATAGAGCTCAGCTGAGAAAACAGAAACTAAGACACAATCAATTTTAATAAACCAGACTTGTGTTACTACACACAGTTTCCCGGCATATTGACTTTAGGATTTAAGACCATATGTCAACTGAAAAAAGAACCCCACCCTGCACTTGGCGTTCTTTAGAAGTCCTTGTATTAATTTTTTATCCTTTATAAAACTTGAACTTGTTCAGTTTTATTTAAGCAGGATATTCTCGTATCAGATATCACATTTTTCACATTGACTACAGCAACATATTCTTCCAAACGAGTCACAATATTTACAAAAACTTACATGATAAAACAGGAGAGTGGTACTTTTGTATAATGACTTTTCAGAATATAGGGAATCTCACTGATAAACAGTCAGTGTTACCGTACTACAGGTATCTGTCAAATATCTTAAGCCTTGTAAATAGACATACATCATAGTATAAGCTCACAGAAGTGAACAGCCATAGAACACAGAATGCAAGCTCGTTCTTCTTGCCACAATAGCACTGGACTAAATATTACTTACTTCTTCTCTGGTGGCACATAATGAAGATTCATATTTGCATGTGGAGTCATCTGATGGTGCCGAGACCTTTCATTGGCTGAAAAAGCGGCATTAATAGCAAAATGTTTCACATATGACTCCAGGATGGTTATTATATTTGTCTGACAAGGAAGCTTCACAAGCTAAAAAGAAACAATTAATTAATGTCTTACAAAAACAGTTAGTAAGCATACCAAATTAAAACAGGGGCTTGTAATGTACCAGCTAACTCACTAAATGTCTAGTGCATGAAGCTATTTCAGGACTGACTAATTTCAACCCTTAAAGCGCATTTTTGATCAAATCTTTATAAACATCTGGAGAAACAAAAAACATGGTAAAGTTAACAAGCTTGTTGCATTTCCAGTTTTAAAAACAATCTGCATTCTAAAATACAGTTGGGTACTGAAACACTACACTTAAATATGACAAGTCAGTGTTTTAGCTATAGGGAAGTCTGCTACATTCTTGGTATTCTTCCTTATACTCTCTAAGTTCACCTTTATCATGAAATAAAAAACCCCAGAACTTGTATACACAAAAACTACTTTTGATATCTTCCTCACCCTCCCATGCACATTCATTTCACAACTTTTATTTCATACCCTTTTTCTTCTATTAATATAATAACAGTCTTCCTCAAGCTTCTTTTTCAAGACTTCAGGAATTTCTATGCTTATTGCTCTTTCTTCCATGTCCCTTTTTGTATGAGTGTCTTGTTCTTCTTTCTACAACAGACAGTTCAAGAAACAATATATTGTTCATGCTTACAAATATTAGTGAAAAAAGAACTTCAGTAGTCAGGATGCAATATAACAACCAATTTTTCTCATACAAAGATTAAATTGTATTATTTATGGAATAAATATTTAAGTGGATAATAGCCTTACTGTAAGCTATTTAACAATACTGGTTTTGAAAGCATTTGCAAATTCATTTCCTAAAACTTTTTTTAAATTTAGCATTCTCTTAAGTATTTAACAAACAAACAAACAAAAAAAACCAACACCAAAAAACCCCACCAAAAAATCCCACAAAGAAACTAAACCAGAAATTTGTTAGGTTTCGCTGCTTCAGATCACCCTCGCTGTACTAGTTATATTCCACACATCTTCAAAACAACTGTAGAAAAATAAATGTGGGGTTTTTTTAAGTCAGTCCCCTACATCCTAATTTAAGACCAGGGATGACATGCCTGTGTCACAGTAGAATACACAACAAATATCTTGCTGCTATTAGGAATTGTCCAGCCAGCACAGATCAGTAAATTTTTACAGCACCCACAGAACTGCTACATCTTCTCCATATAAGACTTATGTGTAGGAAGAGGGGAAAAGAATTTGTATTTTTAGATTAATATCAAATAATTCTACAATAATATGACATACTGCATCATTTTCAAAATCTCAAAAACAGTAGAGACCAGGAGTAAGAAAATTATTGTTTTAATTTCAACTAAATTACCAGCTGTGGCCCATATTTCATCTACTTCAATTTTTCCAGATTTTCAAGTACAGATGTTTAAATTCTATTAACTTAGGGTGCTCATGAATATACCATTTCTGTCCTCTCGTCTATGTCACTTTCTTCGCTTTTTATTTCTTCATCTGTTCCTTCATCACTGTCATCAGAGGAAGAACTACTTATAGCTGCATAAAAGAGATTTCACATATTTATTTCACATGATTACATTGCAGAGGTTATGACCAAACAATTTCAGGCCTCAACGCAAGAAAAAAAAAGAACAAAACACCAAGCCACCAAAAAACCACAACCAGTTTGTTATATTTAATGAGGATGAATAATTCTAATTTAATTAAACACACAAGTATTATTTACAGCATGCTATAAATGTCTTAACTATGTAAGATGAGTTATTAGGAAGTATTCTTGTATCCTCTCTAAGAACACTCACTTTTAAAGCCTCCCTAGATTTCTGAACACCCAGGTACTTCTTCAATTTTCATTAGACTTTAATTCGGAACGGGGGATTTAATATGTTAATAATTCAATCAAAAGGTCTAGATCTGTGCAGTGACAGTTTCCAGAACATCAGGTAAGTGCCAGACAGTGTTCCTGTTGGCTTCCTAGTTACAAAGAAAACTACAGGAAATTAAAGATCTGTCTTGAAAGTGAAAATCAGCCAGTCAGCTGATGAAAAACAGACTTTTGTGCCAGGTAGACCAGGGAAAAAAATAATCTTATTGCCTCCTTCTTCATATAACTGCCTCTACGTATTCCAGAGAGCACTATGATACTCTCACATCATCCTAATAGCAAGTTACAGCATGCTCTGCTCCCCCAGGTCAAGAAGTTAAAGGTATCCCACTAGTTACTAAAGGATGAAAACAAGCTCACAGTTTTCACTGCTCTCATCATTTTCTTCAGCAGGAAGGCTTTTTAACACAGAGTCAACACCAGGCAACCTGCAACGTCTCTTCTTTCTTCCCTTTCTTCTCCTACAGAACATAAAATGGTTCACTGAAATTTGGCTAATATTCAATTTGTTTACCCTAGCTAATTCAACTACATGCAAATGCACAGGAAATGGATGTTTGAGTTATTTTTATTAGTTAATGGTGAAATAATTTGGGCAATGCTTATTTGAGAGTGGACACCTTAATATCTGCACAGTACCTCATATTCATGTTCTCAAGCAGATCCTCAAGCCATGGCCAACCAATATTAGATTATTGCTTTTGGCTGAAAAAAACTTCAGGTTTTCCTAAGTTATTTTGCAAGTACATTTCTTGGGGAAGATGTAGATCCAATACAGAAGCATTTTGCACAATAGTTAAGAATAACATAGTTATTAGTGTTAGTCTTTTAGAGTGGTGCTTAAGAACAATTCATGGGTATCTACCTCAATATCAGAAGAGTAGCTCTCTAGAATGCTCTGACTGTACTAAGTACATATCTACCATCTACACCATCTACAGCATGACCTAAGGCCAAGCTCACTTGTAGACTTGTATCCGTGTGAATCTGAAAATGAATCTCTCATTCATTCTGAGGTCAAAAGGATTTCTTACATGCGAGCCACAGCCTTCCGAGCCAATTTACGCTGTAATCTGCGGTTTTCGTCTGTGTCACGAAGAACATGATCTTCAGCTGCCCATCTATCCCAGCTAAGTCGAAAGAAAATTAACAATTACTATGAATATATGTTACTCATGATTATTAATGAATTAATATACCTTAAATTTACAAAGCACTCTTTCGATGTCATTAAAGCAACATCTGTATCACAAGGTTTGCATTCTTCTGCATTCATGTGGCTTCAACTCTCATGTTGCTGTCTAAAGCCTCTCAAGATTTGACTTCACATGCAAGAGCATTTGTAACAGATCACAGTCAGACACTGCACTCATGTATTGGCCTTGAAAACCAAACAATCCAAGTCTAGATTTAACAAAGCATAAACTTTTATTACTGGAAACCTAGGAGCCACAAGTATATGTCACAGACAGATATCCCATGAAGTTTAAACTCATGGCTATCAAACTGATTCACTGAAATTTATGGATACAGATCAATAAGTCAACATGAGCAAGTATACTAAAGGCATTAACAAAATCAAAAATACTCCTGAAAACATCAGTCCTTTAATATTCAGTGCAATGCCTGTCTTTACAGAATAAAACAGAAGAAATGGAAACACTGAAACAAGACATACGGTTTCCTACCTTCTATTCCAACCATTAAAATGGATCAGATATTCTGGAATCTTTCTCCCTTTCTCATCTTTTCCAACAACAATATCAACAATCTGAAACAAATATTGAATAGTATGTATTAAAAAGTGTGAGAGAAAAGTAAGCCTTCCAGTATTTTAGAGAGTTTATGCACAAAAAAAGGAAATTAAATTAGACAGACTTATTTTGCCAGTTAACACTGACACAAGCAGAAGACATGGATTATACTACATTGTCAGAAAAACTAGCCTTCTTGTTGAGTACTTTTAATGTTGGGGGCTGCTCACCATCTTTGTCCTGTCCTCAAACATCCCATGCTTTCAAGACAAAGAAAGAGCGATGTCAAACAATGCAGTAGCACAATATGGATATGAAGATTTGGGCTTACCAATGTTTTCTCCTCTGTGCTATCTCAAGCCCCTAAAGCAGGAGAAAACACTTCTCTATATATAAACCATAGAAATGCTGCCCTGTTGAACATCACAGAATCTCAGCCACAAAACATTAAAAGGTTTTGTGAATATCTGAGCCTTTGTTTTCTTTCTGTTTAACACATGTGAAATGGGCCAGTCTGAAAGAGCCTGCACCTCAGAGGGATAAGATGGATCAGGTGGATCATTAACAAAAGCATTGGTAATAGTAATAACAAAGGAATCGTGCTGCCTGCACTTGAGTGGCTCTCCACAGATCATGTATCAGCAGTTAGACTACAGTGATGTTTTAATTTAAAATTATGTGTGATGTTTAATTTTGGAGCCCAGACTTTAAGAATTATTGATGGATTCAAGAATAGTTATGCTATTTAGGGCATTTGAAAGTAAAGAAGAAAAGGCACTACACAGTTTTGCACTCAGGATGCCTCTATGGATAGCATAGAGGCTATCCTAAAGCTGTTGGGGTTGTCAGAACATAGGAATATGTGTACAAACAAAAGGGTAGCCCAAAATATTACAGGACGGTGGAGTTTCTAATCAAAAAGGTTTGAGAAACAGACCTACACAACTAGTAAACTTCCAGCAAAAACTATTGATTTGGTCAAGAATTCAGTTGCAGTACTTCCCTTTTCATCCGTTTAACAAACAAAAGAAAAAAAAGAAAACCGAACCAAACAAACACAAAACATCTGTTTGCAAGTTGGGAACAGATGATTTAGGACTGCAAAATAATCCTGTATTTACATAAAGCTCTGTAATTATTATCACTACTCTTAAGATCAGGTCTTACTGAATCAGTCACCTCCTACTCCAGCACTTATGATCCACCGCGCACCGCTTGCTATCCTATTTCCGTATTCTCTCTGCACCAGCGGTGCCACTTAAACCCTTCTGAAAGGCAGAAGGGCAGCAAGCGTGGGAAAGCGGGAGGGGGAATAAATCTAGCTACACTAGGAAACTGCGGGGATGAAAACAAGGTTTCAGAATTACTTTGTAGGTGTTGAGCCGAGTACAGGAGGGGGGGAAGCGCTTCCGACACTCCCAGAAACCCTGGGCGGCTCCGCTGTCTACCTGTCGCGACAGCCAGGCCCCGAGGGCCCGCGCCCGTCGCCTGTCACCCGCCTCTGCTCCCCAGCGCTCTGGGAAAGGCCCAGAGGCTCCTATACGGCTGCTACACGCTCCCCTCACCCTCGCGGCTCCGAGTGCGGAGGGACAGAGCCGAGTCTCGCCAAGGGACCGGCCTGAGCCGCCCGCAGGGAGCGATGCTGAGGGGAGGAGAGGGCCGGCGGCGACGGCACCGCCTCGCTTCGCCTCTCTGCCCCGTGCCGGGGGGCGGCCCCCGCCCCGCGGCCTCTCCGCCTTCTCCCCCCTCCCCGGGCCAGCGCCCGTTTCCCGCAACAAGTGCTGCTGCTGGCGGAGCCGCCTCCCAACGCCTGGCCGGGCCCGCAGCCACCTCCCTCCCGCACCACCTCCCCCCGGGAGCGCGCGCAGCGCCCGGCGGGAGCGGTAACGGGAGAGCGGGAGCGGTAACGGGAGCGGGCGGGCCGCGCGCCGGCCCCGCCCCGCGCGCCCGGGGACGAGGGGGACGGGCGGGAGGGGGACAGGGGCACGCGCGGCCGGTCACCTTGGCATCATAGAGCACTTTGGCTTTGGTGGGGTCGGGCTCGAAGCAAAGAACTCTCTCTCCCCGGTGGAACTTAAATTTCATTCCCCGCGAGGTCATTTGTTCATCATGGCGCAAAGGAGAAGAGCCCCGCCCGCTCCCGCGGGGAGGTGCCGCGGCCGGCGTGGCCCCGCCCCCGGCTCCTCCGGCGGGGGCGGGCGGGAGGGAGCGCCGCGGGGGCTGTGCCCTGCTCCTTCTGCTCCCTCTGCTCCCCCTGCCCTCCGCGGTGGAGCCGTGATCGGTCCCGGCCAGGGCGAGGATGAGCTGCCCGCCTGTGCCCACGCCGCTGGTTCCGCGAGGTGCGCGGCACGGGCAGCCGGGGCAGGCAGCGGGAGGGGCGGCGGAGGGGGGACGGGTCCCTCCGAGCGAGAGGGTGGCCGCCTGCCCTGGGCCGGGGGAGCCCGGGCAGGGGAGGCGAGAGCGCCCGGGCGCGGTTTTGCCGGCCGTGCTGGCGGTACCCCGGGAGCAGGGCCTAGCGCTGGGCCTGTGCCCGCTGCGGGGCCGGATGCACCCCGAGGAGGACGGCTGTCCTCTCTGCTACTGCTGCCCCTCACCAGACATCCCCAGCCCTTACCCTGTTTCCCGTGTTCTCTGCTCAGCGAAGAACTGCCCCTACTCCCAAGTGAGCTATGTGTATATTGTAACCTTCTCCAAGGTTTATTTTCCTCTCCACTGTTCTTTCATTGTTCTTTCTTCAAGAAAATCATCATGGCTAGGCTTTGCAAACGAAGATTTGAGAAGGGCTCTACCCACGCTTGCTACAAGCGTGCTGATGGCCAAAATTTGATTTATCTTTCCAATGTTCAGTTTCAGATTCCATGAGCATGCAAATAGTGGAAATAAAAGCAATATTCAGCTTTCTTGCCAGTGCACCGATGCTTGGAAGGGTCTCAGCCAGGGGAACACTGCTGTTTCCCACAGGATGTTAGTTATTAGATGCTCTCTCAGGCTGTTACAGTTTTGATGCCAGTGCTGTGTTTCTGATTTACACAAGACCACGACAGAGCTGAGAGGCCTAGGCTTAGCCAGCCTGGTAGAAAGACCAGTTAATTCGTCATTATTTAGCATTTTTTGAAGTTGCCTTTC